TTGTAGGACTGCCTAGTCATCTCTTCTTAAAAAAAAGTCTGCCTTCTGGGCTTTTTGGTGGTCAGTGGTGGTAACCACTCATTTGTATGGTGCTCCTAACAAAGCAGTCTCTTACCATAACCTTGCTTTATCTTCACATGGCCTTTTGCATTCTCATTTTTTTCGGGTGAAATGTCACACATTACAGATCCTTGTTTAAATATGTTTTGTTCTGGACGTTAGAATAAAACAGAATTAAACCCCACAGGGACTACAGAGGCTTTTTCTAAAGGTCATTTATTTATTTTGACAGGGAGAGTGCGCTTGCGAGCGCGCGCACACACACACACACACACACAGCAGAGGAGCAGAGAGAAGGTGAGACAGAATCCCACGCAGGCTTGGAGACATCAGCACAGAGCCCTATGCGGGACTTTAATTCACGAACTGTGAGACCATGACCTGAGCAGTGGTCAAGAGCTGGACACTTAACCTATGTAGCCACCCAGGCGCCCCTATAGAGGCTTTTAATAATGGGAGTTGGCTGGCTGTGTCATAAATATTGTAGTTTTCTGCTAGTGAGATGTTCAAGTGCAACTTAAGCCTACCTTGGAGCTCCTGGGGGGTTCAGTCGGTTAAGCTCAGGTCAAGATCTTATGGTTTGTGGGATCGAGTCCCGCCTCGGGTTCCTTGTGGACATTTAGGAGCCTGGAGCCTGCTTTGGATTCTGTGTCTCCCTCACTCTCTGCCTCTCCCCCACTCATGCTCTGTCTCTCTCTGTCTCAAAAATAAATAAACTATAAAAAAAATTAACCAAAAAAAACCCCACCTAGTCCTTGGCCAGTAAAGAGCAGATCTTTCAGCCACCTTAGCTGTAGAAGATGTTAGATTACAATACAGTATTTATTATACTTACCTTGTATTTATATGACAGGACCCCGATAGGTCATGACAGGTAGGGTTGGTGTATCTGTAACTATTTGGTATTACATTTTTAAAAAATCCATTAGGCCTCCAATCAATATGTTTGGTGTTACATATTTAGTATATTATGCCTTACTTTGATGTGAAGAAATGGTGCAGGAGACTGGAGGCCAGAATTTGATTTTTTAAAAAAATTGCTTTAATGAAAATTTTAACCATGTTCAGAGAGAATAGTATCATGAAATTGATGTAGCCATCACTCAGCTTTATGTGTTACCAACACATAGCCAATCTTGTCTCATCCATACCTAATTCCCTTTAGATTATTTTGAAGCAGAGCTAGACATAATCTCTCATTTCATCTGTAAAATAAAATATCTGCACCAGTCCCTAAAAGATAAGAATGCTTTTAAAATATAAAAGCATAAACATAATGTAATACGCTGCTGCTGCTAAAATTGTAATACTTCACTCACAGCAGATATTTGGCCTGTATTCATTTTTCCAGTTTTTTATTTTTAAATTTTTAAGTGTATTTATTTATTTATTTTTAACATTTATTTTTGAGGGACAGAGACAGAGCGTGAGAGGGGGAGGGGCAGAGAGAGAGAGGGAGACACAGAATCCGAAGCAGGCTCCAGGCTCTGAGGGGTCAGCACAGAGCCCGATGTGGGGCTTGAACTCATGGACTGAGCTGAAGTTGGATGCTCAACTGACTGAGCCATCCATGTGCCCCAAGTTTCTTTATTTTGAGAGAGAGAGAGCACACGAGTGCAAGCATGTGCCTGTGAGCAGGGAGGGGGTGCAGAGAGAGGGAGGAGAGAATCCCAAGCAAGTTCAGTGTGGAGCCTGATGCAGGGCCTGATCACTGAACTGTGAGATCATGACCTGAGCTGAAATTAAGAGCTAGATGGATGCTTAACTGATCGAGCCACCCAGGCACCCCTCTTCAATTTTTTATAAGATTTTTTTTTTTTACTTGAAATGAGTTTTAAATGATGTCCATCCATAATGCCTATTCTTTCCTTCCTTCCTCCCTCCCTCCCTTCCTTCCTTCCTTCCTTCCTTCCTTCCTTCCTTCCTTGGATGAAATGGACAAATTCCTTCAAAGACACAAGTTACCAAAGCTGACACAAGAAGAAACAGAAAATATAAATAGCCCTAGACCTATGAAAGAAATGAAACGTGTAATTTCAAAACCTTCCCACAAAGAAAAGTCTAGGCTCACATGGATTCACTGATGAGTTCTATCAAACATTTAAGGAGTAACGCACACTGTTGTGCACCAACTCTTCCAGAAAATAAAGGAGAAAAGAATTATTCCCATCTCCTCTTATGAATCATGGTATCCGGATAGCAAAACCAGAGAGAGCTGTTGCAAGAAAAAGACTGAAAGCTTCTGTAATGGAAGTTACTAGAGAGAAATTAAAGAAGGTCTAGATAAATGGAGAAACATGTCATATTTATGGATTGTGCACTTACTATTACTAAGAGATTAATGCCCCCAAACTGTCCCCAGTCAAAGCCCCATCAGACTTTTTCTGGGCAGGAATTTCTGGGGAATAACATACGTGGAAATGTTAACGAATCTAGGACATCCAAAAAATGAACAAACAAACCAACCAAATGCTTTGTAAAAGCAATAAAACAAAATTGAGTGACCTGATTTCAAGACATACTCTAGCCCTCTAGAAATCAAGAAAATATACTATTGAAGTAAGGGTAGACATACAGAACGTTGAGGCAGGGTAGCCCAAAGACAGACCTACCAAAACTTAGCGTTGGTTGAATCAACAAAGGTGCCAGGATAATTCAATAGAGTAAGGATACTCCCCCCCTGCCCCCCCCTCCCCCGCAGCAAATGATATTGGAATAACTAGGTATTATGAGGAAAAAAAGAACCTTGTGTTTTTACTGTGCATAATACATAAAAATTAACCTGAGACAGATCTTAGACCGACACATAAAAGCTAGAACTTTAAAGTTTCTAAAGGGAAATAGCAGGTTAAAAATCCTTGGGATGCAAAAGATTTCTTAGCATGTCCATCAGAGAAATAATAAATTGGAGTTCATCGACTAGACAGCTCCTGGAAGGACTTCACAAAGAAAGTGAAGACGAGGCATGGACTAGGCAGAAATATTATGATCACATAAATCCAACAGTGGACTTGTTTCCAGGACAGAGTCAGAAATTTTACAGTTGAGTCGTCAGACAAGCAACTCAGTGAAAAGATCGGCAAAAGGCCTCACCACACACCTCACAGAAGAAGATAGAAGTACTCCAGTCATCGTGTCCAAACGCACCCACATTCTTATTCATTAGGGAGACACCAGGTAAAAGAAGCTCCCACTACACCACCTAACAGAGTGACTAAAACCGAAAAGACTGACGATCAAAGTGTTGGCAAGGGATCCCGAGTGACTGGGACTTCATGTGTTGTTGGTGGGAAGGTGACGTCATATAGTCAGCTTGGAATATAATTCAGCAGTTTTTCATACTGTTAAATATCATTAACCATATGACCAACAGTTTCACTCATGGGTATTTACCCACGAGAAATGAAAACACGTGCCCGTAAAAAGACATCCACACAGATATTTAAGGCAGCTTTATTTGTAATAGCCCCAAACGAGACACAACCCAAATGTCTTTCAACAGATGAACGGATAAACACATGGTGAAGTATTCAGACAGTGACACACTCCTTGGCAATGAGAAGGGACTAATTACTTATGTGCACAACAGTATGGGTGAAGCTTGCTTATGTCAAGTAAAGAAGCCAGACACACAAGACAACATGTGTTGTGTGATTTTATTTCTCTAAAGGTCTCGAACTGGAGGCAGTAAACTATGTACGTATATATAAATTTAAAATTTTTTAAAAATATTTTTATTTCTGAGCGAAAGGGAGACAGACAGAGTGCAAGTGGGGAAGGGCAGAGAGCGAGGAGGACACAGAATCCGAAGCAGGCTCCAGGCTCTGAGCTGTCAGCATAGAGCCTGATGTGGGGCTTGAACTCAGGAACCATGAGATCATGACCTGAGCTGAAGTCAGAAGCTTAACAGACCGAGCCACTCAGGCGCCCCTCAATTAGTTTGTCTTCAAAAGGGGTCTGCTAATGCCAAAATTTTTTCCCACCAGTGGATGATAAAGACTCAGTCTCTCCTTTTTCCATTTGGATTCTCACTCTTGGTTCACTTACTGAATAATCCCTAGCTTCTCCATTTTTCTGCCTTGCTGCTTATGTATTAAAGTTCCATATTTATGTGCTCTCTATTCCATTTCGTTGACCAATTTGTTTATCCTGCCTTAATTATTTTAGTTTCATATTAAGCCCTGTTCTCATTATTCTCCGTAAATGTTTTTGCTGTTCTTGATCCTGTGTTGTTCTGGATACAGTGTATAAGATTAATCGTTTCTATGTTCTATGAAAAACATATGGGGTTTGAATTGATTTTATAGACAAATTTGGGTAGATGCTGAATTTTTGCAGTACTAAATTTTTCTGTTCATAACTGTGGTGTTCTTTTCCATTTATTAAGATTTTCTGTGATGTCTCTCAGTACATTTTGTAATTTCTTCCATAAAGTCCTTGCACATATTCTGAAGGATTTATTTCAAGGCATTTGGTGTTTCTTATTTTATCGTTAAGTGCAGTCTTCCTTCTCGCTGTTTATTGTCGATGTATAGAAATGTGGTTTTTAAAAATCTCAGTCATGCATCCGGGGAACATTTGCTTTTGTTCTAGAAAGAGCTCATTAATCCATGAGCAGAATGTGTCACGTGTGCTCACACACTCGTGTGTATTTTGAGGATGGTGGTGCTGAGGGTGAGCCTTCCCACGGTCCTGAGGTTAGTTTTGGTCAAGTGTCTACATGCAGGCTGGCCCTGAGTCACAGGAGAGGATACCAGCTGGAGCCACGATGCTCCTGGCTCTACGTATAGTCAGCCAACTGTGCGCTGATGGATGTCAGGAAGAGGGCTCCCTCAAGCCAGCATCCGTGAGTCAGGACATCCATGCATTGTCCACATAGGGATGGTTTGTCATGATGCAGGCTGTCACTGTTAAAAACGTGTGTCCCTCTTCTCTTGTAGTATCCGGAGTGTGATGCAGAAGTATCTTCAGGAGAGAAATGAAATCACCTTTGACAAGATTTTTAATCAGAAAATTGGTAAGTCCCACTTACTCCTGTGGCATAGTGTCCAGTGGTGGTTTCAGGTGGCATTGGCTTCACACTTATGTGTCAGCGCAGCCTTTCCCGTTGTCTGTGTGTTATAGCTCTGACTGGGAATGAAGCATATTTTCTGTAGGACTAAGATACGTAATGGTTACCTACATCCCTAGTATTAGACCTTATGAACAAGCTCTTGGGAAGCAGACCAGCGGGAGTGGAGGGTTTGAGGCAGTTTGGGGGTTGCCAGTTCAAAGGATTGGGTAGCTAGTAACCAGAAAGAAGCGCTCTGGGCTTCGGAACCGCTTCCCAGGTCCCCACCTTCCCTCCCTGCAGTTGTATTTCCTGTGATCGCAGGACGTTGGCACGCATCCTCATAAACATCCTGCACGCCTGGGTTTGGCCAGCGCCTGGCAGCATTTGGGGCGGGCGTCTTTGATCTCCTCAGTTTTGGCCACAGGCCTTACATGCCCCTCCTCATAGTCAGTTCCATGTCAATTACTCTTGTCCCCATTCGCAGCCTTACTTAGCGGGCCACCAGGACTCTCCTGTGGTGTGCCCAGAGGTCAAGGATCCGTTTCCTTCCGGCTGGTACCCAGCTCTGTGCAGCGCTGGTCTTGGCCGGAGCACGTGCGTGGATGGATAGGTGTGTTCTCTGCTTAGCAGCAGTTAGGACTGGACAGGGATTGCTTTAGTGTAAGGTTTCAGGGCTCGGAGAACAATGGAATATTACGCTCTCCCCTGCCTTCCGAAGGGCTGGCAGTTTGTTGAGAGGTTAGAGAAGAGCTGGAGTCTCTCTACTTTTCTTCATCCCCCAAAATCGGTTGTCCAGAAATGTCCACAACTATATTTTTATTCTCAGCTCAGGTAGGATTCACTGTTTGGCCTGCCAGCTGGGTATTTTGTTAATCTGCCCACAGTAATGTGAAAAACAGAGAATTCCAGGATTTTACATGAAATCACCTTAGCTGCCTTTGAGAACATTGGAAGCTCTTCCCTGCCCTTTGCTCCTTACTTTCCTCCTGCAGTTACTCAGATAAGATTTGCCGAGCAAAGTGTGGCATTGCTTTTAAATTACTTTAATACTCGAGGAAGCGACTTTATTAAAATTTCAGGAAACCGTGGTTGTAAGGAAGTTTCCTGGAACGCAGTTGCTGCCTTTTGTGCCTGTCTCCGTGATTTACAGACCCACAGTGACTGGTGTCCTTGAGACTGAATATCCCTGGAGGTAATTCTGGGCAGCTCTCCTCCCTACAAGTAAGGGGCGTAGACTCAGGCCGGTAAAGTGACTTGCTCTGATTTGTAGTTCTTCTTGTCCAGTCATTCTGTAAAGGCTCTTGGAAAGGAAGCAATGAATGTAAAATGAACTGTTGAGGGTCACCTGGTAAGAACTGGCTAGTGGGGGGTTTTTTGTTTTCTAGAAAGAGGTATAATGCTTTCTCATGATCAAGTAAAGTAGAAACTGGTGCAGAAAAACCTTTAGATTTTTGGCAAACGTTTGATCTACTCTCCAAAATGTGGCCATCTATGAAGGTGATAGAGCTTTTGTGATGACCCTGACATTCAGTGGCCTGGAGCTCGATGCTCTTCTCCGGAGAATCAGGTGGAATGAATGCTGCCCCGTCCGTGCTCGGAACACAATGTGGAAAGCTAACAGCCCATAGCCACCTAGATATCTTCCATTCCGAGCGTCGGGATTTGGCTAGGGAGCAGAGCAGCTGAAAGAGCTTGACTTTCATCTCCTGCCTCATTGCTGCTTCCCCTTGCATCCATGGTGTTTGGTTAACCGTCATCTATGTAAATAAACGCTCCCTTTCGCTTCTGCTTCCGTACTAAAGAATGGAACATAAAACTCTGATGGCAACGAGAAACAATATCTTTGGGAGGGAAGGGAAAAAAGGAATGCCTGATTTCTTTGTTGAAATTTACAACTAGATCTACAGCTCTGGGGGCGCCTGGGTGGCTCAGCCGGATGAGTGTCTGACACTTCTGCTTAGTTCATGATCTCTCGCAGTTCATGAGCTTGAGCCCTGCGTCGGGCTCTGTGCTGACAGCTCAGAGCCTGGATCCTGCTTTGGATTCTGAGTCTCCCTCAATCTGCCCCTCTCCTGCTCAAGCTCTCCGTCTCTCTCTCGAAAATAAATAAACATTAAAATATATAGATCTATAGCTCTGTTAAGATCTATTTTACGCAGCGTGAAACACTCTAGTTTCATGTGTACGGGTCAGTGGTTTTTAGTGTATTCACAGAGTTGCATGGCCCTTACCCCAGACTCACCTTAGAACATTTACGGCACCCCCAGAAGAGGCTCTACACCCATTAGCACTCTCCACCCCTCATCCATCCCGAGATGCCACTAATCTAAGTTCTGCCCCTGTGGATTTGCCCTTGGTGGATGTTCCCCCTGGATGGATGCATGCAGCTTCTCTCATATTTTATTTTCTTATTCAAAATATTTTAATGTTTATTTGTGAGCGAGAGAGAGACAGAGCACGAGCTAGGGAGGGAGGGCAGAGAGAGAGGGACACAGAATCTGAAACAGGCTGTCAGCACAGAGCCGGATCCTGGGCTCGAACTCCCAAACCGCGAGATCATGACCTGAGCCGAAGTCGGAGGCTTAACCGACTGAGCCCCCCAGGCGCCCCTCTCATATTTTAAAGGTTCCTCCATGTGGTTGCATGTGCCAGTACTTGGTTTCTTTTATGCTCGGTGATAATTCCACCATGTGGCTGTGCCGTGTGTTGTGTATCCATTCATCCGTTGGCAGTTGTTTGGGTTATTTCCACTTTTTGGCCCTTATATGTGATGCTGCTACGAGAGGAAGGTGTTTCTCAGCGTGTGGTGTGTGCGGCTGGTTCCCCGTGACTAAGGCGCACCGGCGGGTTGTGACAAGCCCGCTGTCCCCTGCACTCTTAGCCAGTCTGCGGAACGCACTGAGGATCCTTTCTCCTGTTGTGTTTTCTGATCCTCACCCCTCTCCCGTCCCCCCAGCATGTATGCAGGCCCCCAGACCTGTCTTTCCCATTCAATCCACGCCTTACCTGAAACTGACCCCAGGAGCCCTTGATCCGAGGGCCTCACTGACATTAAGGTGGCCTCGCGCCCCGGCCTCGGCCACATAGATTCCACCCTGCCAGCAGCTTCGTTGGGCAGTGATGGCCTGTGAATTCTCTCGATTCAGCTGTTTTAAAGAATTCCTTCCTCTTCCCTTCCTTCCCCTTCGTGAGCCTGGCGCTGGTCAGAGGAAGCTAGGTCTGAACTTGGAAGGTCACAGGAAAGAGCAGCAATCATGGGAGGGGTGCAGAACGGGGAGACAGGAGAACATGGTAACATCGCCAAACACACCTCTGTAATTCTGTGTGGACGTCGCTGTGTATTCAGTGTCTGTCTGGTCCGTCCTCCTTTTTGGCGGGGGTGAGGGATCGGGCAGAACGGAAGGTGGCCCGGGCTTGGAGTACATCTGTCCTGCTCTCTAGGTCTTCTTCCCATTTTGCTCCCGCTCGCCACCCACCCCCCGCCCCACCACTACCTTTTGCCTTTGTCTCTCCCGTCTGTTCCATCCGCCCCTTTCCATGACTGTCCCCATGTGTCACCAACTTGTTGATTTTCTATTCTGTCGTTCTGTTGTTTCCCTTTCACCATGTATCCCGTGCCTGTCAGCTCCTTTTCTCTCTTCCGGCACCTTCCACGCTCCCCTGGGCCGATGGTTAGCGCGGGGTTCTGGGGAACTGCCTGCCACGTGTGCTGCAGCCCGTGTGCAGAAACGCTGTGTGAAGTGCCAGGGGTAGAACTCCATTTACTCGGCCCCGAAGCCCTGATGAGCTGATGGGTGACTAGCCGAGCTGCTGGCTGCACCCCAAACTGGTTGATTTTTCGTTAAGTTTCCTTATCTGTACAGGTGGGGATGACGATGTTATCTGCTGCATAAGGCGGTTGTGGGGTTTCAGCAGGAAGTGTCTGCAAAGCCCTCAACACAGGGATTGGTTCTCAGCAGCTGCTCTGTGAATGACAGCTCTGCAGTGAAACTGTTTACTGTAAAAATATCGGGGTGGCGCGCCTGGGTGGCTCGGTCAGTTAAGCATCTGACTTTCAGTTTCGGCTCAGGTCATGATCTCACAGTGGGTGAGTTCGAGTCCAGCGTCAGGTTCTGTGCTGACAGCCTGGAGCCTGGAGCTGCTTCGGATTTTGTGTCTCCCTCTCTCCCTGCTCCTCCCTCACTCATGCTCTGTCTCTCTCTCTCTCTCTCTGTCAAAAATAAATAAACATTTAAAAAAACACATCGGGGCACCGGGGTGCTCAGTCAGGTAAGCTCTGACTTTCAATTTTGGCTCAGGTCATGATCTCAGGGTCCTGAGATCAAGCCCCGTGTTGGGCTCTGTGCTGGGTGTGGAGCCTGCTTGGGATTCTCTGTCCCTTTCTCTCTGCTCCTCCCCCACATGCATGCATGCTCTCTCTCTTTCTCTCTCTAAATAAATAAATAAACAGTAAAATAAAAATATCTAGTCAGGCACAAAAGTAGACTGATAAACCCCCATATGTATTTGTCAGCCAGATTCCCTATTTTACAACATTTGCCTATACTGGCCTTGTTCATCCTTTCTTTGTGTGGCTCCCAAAATATAATATTCTTTAAGTTTATTTGTGTATTTTGAGAGAGAGAGAGAGAGAGATTGTGCAAACAGGCAAGGGAGAGAAAGAATCCCAAGCAGGCTCTGCAGTGTCAGCACAGAGCCTGATGTGGGGCTTGAACCCACGAACCGTGAGATCATGACCTGAGCTGAAATCTGGAGATACTTAACCAATGGAGCCCCCCAGGCGCCCCTGCCAAAATACTTGAAAGCAATTAGCTTTAGTGTTTCAGCCCTATATTCATATGTACAGACTACGAATGTTTTTTATACAACCTTCATCTTTACCCCAACCAATGCAAACAAGGATTCCTGGGGCGCAGGTGATCGGGTCGTGATCTCACGGTTCATGAGCTCATGCCCCACACCTG